ATGAGATTCTAGTCATATTTCACAATAAGGTATAATACAGAGCACTAAGCAAATACATTATTAATGAGCTAGGATTTCTTTATATTCCTTACTGTAGAAGAGTCTGTGGTATAAGGTTAACTGAATAGTTTTAAAAGGGTTATGCATTTTTTTTATAAGGGAGAAGAGATTTCCATACTGGTAAAATTCTCCAGCGTCTCAGCACTCACTATGAAGTGTCTGAGGAGCAGCTTGAAAGCGGTGGCCCATGGCATGTAACCCAGAAGCCATTGGTGCTGTCATAGGATGCATTTCTTTTCCTTTTTTAATTAAGTTTATTGCCTCGGCTGGTGCTTTTCAGTGGTTAGAGCATCAGCCTGTGCCTGGAAGGGTTGCAGTTTGATTCCCAGTCAGGAGTTCGATCCCCAAGTCCCCGTTGGGGAGCCTGTAGGAGGCAACCAATCAATGTGTCTCTCACATCCATGTTTCTCTCTCTTTCCCTCCCCACTCCCTCTCTAAAATCAATGGGAAAAAATACCTTTGGGTAAGGATTAACAAAAAGTTTGTGGGTGACACTGGTTAATAAGATTATATAGGTTTCAGAGTGCAGCTCTGTGATCCATCATCTACCCTGTTTCCCCAAAAATAGGACAGTGTCTTATATTAATTTTTTCTCCCAAAGTTGCGCTAGGTCTTATTTTCAGGGGATGTCTTATCTTTCCATCGCTAGGTCTTATTTTCGGAGGATGTTTTATTTTCAGGGAAACACAGTATATATTGCATTGTTGTTCATCACCCAAAGTCATATCTCCTCTATCACCATATTTTTATTCCTTTTACCCTCTTCAACTTCCTCCTCACCCCTCCCCCTCTGGTAACCACCAAACTGTTGTGTCTAGGAGTTTTTTGTTTTTTTTTAAACCCACAAGTGAAATCATATGGTCCTTGTCCTTTTCCACTTGACTTATTTTGCTTAGCATTATGCTCTCAAGATCCATCCTTGCTGTGCTAGATCATCGTATTTCATCTTGTGACTGAGTAGTATTCCATTGTATACTTGTACCACATCTGCTTTATCCAATCATCCTCTGAAGGACACTTGTTTCCATATCTTCGTTACTATGAATAATGCTATAATAAACCCAGTGCACGACATTCATGCACTAGGGTGGGGGTGGGGGGTATCCCTCAGCCAGGCCTTCAGCCTCTCGCAGTCTGGGAGCCTTCAGGGGATGTCCAACCGACTGCTTAGTCCCTCCCCCCGGGAGCATGCCTAAGCCGTCAGTCAGACATCCTTAGCACTCCCACAGGCGGGAGAAGCTCCAGCCATGAGCCCAGCTCAGGGCTTCTGGCTGAGCGGCACTCCCCCTGTGGGAGTGCACTGACCACCAGGGGGCGGCTCCCACATTGAGCATCTGCCCACAGTGGTCAGTGTGTGTCATAGCAACCACAACCAGCCGTTCCACCATTTGGTCAATTTGCATATTAGCCTTTTATTATATAGGAAGGATACTACTATAAATTGGCTGTACCAATTTACATTCCCACCAGCAGTATATGGAGGTTCCTTTTTCTCCACAACCTCTCCAACACCTGCTATTTATTGTCTTGTTGATAGCCATTCTAACAGTTTGAGGTGGTATTTTATTTGTATTTCCCTTATAGCTAATAAAGTTGAGCATTTCTTCATGAAGCTGTCGCTCCTTTGTATGTCTTCTTTAAAAAAAAAGGGTCTGTTACCAAAACCGGTTTGGGTCAGTGGATAGAGCACTGGCCTTCAGACTGAAGGTCCCAGGTTTGATTCCGGTCAAGGGCATGTATCTTGGTTGCCAGCACATCCCCAGGGGGCAGCTGACGGATGTTTCTCTCTCATCGATGTTTATCTCTATCCCTTTCCCTTCCTCTCTATAAAAAATCAATAAAATATTAAAAAAAAAAGTCATAATTGTCAAGAGCTGCTATAAACTAAGAAAAATCACATAGCCCAGCCAGCATGACTCAGTGGCTGAGCATCAACCTATGAACCAGAAGGTCCCCTTTCGATACCAGCTCCAGTGGGGGGCATGCAAGAAGTAGTCAATCAATGATTTGCTCTCATCATTGATGTTTCTCTCCCTCACTCCCTCCCTCTCTAAAATAAAAATATTATTTAAAAAAATCACACACCCAACCAAATTTTTGAATATATAAAGCTATACAAAGTTAATGCTTAGCAAAGAATGACCAATAGACATTTGAAATAATATTCAACCGTGTAAGTAACCAGGAAAGTCTGAAGGCACTATTTTTCACCCATCAGGTAAGTACGACAGTATCAAGTGTTTAAAAAAAGGCTGAGAAAACAAGGCACTCCCATCTATTATTAATGGAGCAGGTATATTGGTAGTATTTTTTGCAGGACAATTGAGCAGTATAGATTAAAATGTTTAATGTTCATTCTCATTTGAGTCAGGTCACTTCCAGAAATCTATCTTTGGGAAATACTTGAACATGTGCACAAAGATATATACATAAAGATGCTCACTGAAGTGTTGTGTGTTTTCCATTTTTATTGAAAAAATGGAAACTTTCTATGTCAGTCAGAAAGAAAACAAAGAATTGCTGAACAATTAAAATGAGTACTTCCATGAAAAAAAATCTCCAAGATATACCATAGTGTTAAATGGTAAAAAGTAAATTCTTTTTTTTTTTTTTTTAATATATATTTTATTGATTTTTTAACAGAGAGTAAGGGAGAGAGGTAGAGAGCTAGAAACGTCGATGAGAGAGAAACATCGACCAGCTGCCTCTTGCACACCCCCTATCGGGAATATGCCCGCAACCAAGGTACATGCCCTTGACCGGAATCGAACCTGGGACCTTTCAGTCCGCAGACCGACGCTCTACCACTGAGCCAAACCGGCTTCGGCGGTAAAAAGTAAATTCTTGATCGTGAATTACATATTGCAGCCATTTTGATTGTGTATATCACATAGCTATGTGCATATCTACGGGGTCAGCTATGACATAGAGACTTCCACTTTTACCCAATATTCCAGTGTTTTGATTAAGAAAAAGAAAACAGTTTAGAAAAAGAGACATCAAGCTACTCGTTGTGTCTAAAGAGGGGAGAAAAGGGTGAAAGTGAAGAGATTTTTACTTTTCCCTCTATAAACTGTGAAAATGGAGAAACCAAACACAATTATTTTGCAACTTCTGTGAAATTAAAGTTAATATAAAAGGTAACACGAGATTACTTTCAAAAATAAATGTCATGGACCTCAACCAAGTTTACCGCTAGCCATTTTCAAAGTCACCATAAATAAACAACAACGTAGGATGGCATTATGGCGTTGTAGCTGGTAGTTTTCCAGCTCTCCTTCATTCACATCATTAGGAAATAAATTCTTCCCAAGAATTCCTCACTCCTTCATGGAATATTACTACCTTCCCGACCACGAGCCCCAGAACCCCAAACTGGCAGGACACCAGGGGTGGGGCGACTTTCGATTAGAGCAGTATGTACTGTGTCTGCAGCAGTCCTATTTCCACAGAAGCTGGCCATTTGAAAAAAAAAAAAATAATAACTGTCAGCTATAATTCATAAACTGTATATTGCCCTGGGATGGCAGGAGGTATGAAACGATTATGCAATAAGAAAAGGTCCCATGATCCAGTCTCGGCTGATCTCACCGGCTCTGCGTGCCAGCGGTCTGACCCCCAGCAGATGACCCCTGGCAGCAGCCTGACCCCCAGCAGATGAACCCCCAGCAGCAGCCTGACCCCCCGCAGCCTGACCCCCAGCATATGACCCCTGGCAGCGGCCTGACCCCCTGGCAGCAGCCTGACCCCCAGCAGATGAACCCCTGGCAGCAGCCTGACCCCCAGCATATGACCCCTGGCAGCGGCCTGACCCCCAGCAGCCTGACCCCCTGTCAGCAGCCTGACCCCCAGCATATGACCCCTGGCAGCGGCCTGACCCCCTGGCAGCAGCCTGACCCCAGCAGATGACCCCCCCATTCTCTCCCCTTCTCACCCCCCCGCCCCCCCCCCCGCACAGCAGCATGACTCTGCACAATGAGCGCCCCAACCCCCCCTCCTTCCCGGGCCCTGAGACACAGGGAGGCCACGCGTGACCTGCAAGAGGCCTAAGGTCACCGTGAGGACATCGCCTCGGGGTGGACAGAAACCCCGCAAAGGCCGCCGCCACACCGACCCCATCTCACTCCGCAGCCCGCGCCCACCCGCAGGGCTTTGGGTCCACGTGAACGCAGCCATGGGGGCCGGGGTGGGGGTGGGGGGACGTGGTCCAGCCATGGTGAACCGTGCACGCTGCAGGCCTTTCTCTACTGAAACCCTCCGTGCTTCAGGCCCCGGGAGCCGCCCCCTCCATTTTGCCCCCGAACCCTCCAGGGACCCGCGCGGCGCCGCTGTGAGCCCCGGAGCGCCGAGGGGAAAGGGGGGAGGCGGGCGCAGCCGGCGCTCGGGGGCCGGGGGGAGGGAAGCGGGGGGACCGGAAGGACAAAGGACGCGGGCCGCGGCCTGAGCGAGCCCACTTCCGGCGGGGGCCGCGCGCGGGACAAAGCGGCGGCGACGAGCGCCCCCCGCCCCCAACGGCGCGCGCCCGGGGGCCGAGCACGCGGAGCACGAGCGCGGGCGACGGTTAGAAATGGCGGTTGGGGCGGAAGGCGGGGGCAGGGCGGGGAGGGGCGCGGTCTCGGCCGCCCGCGCCGCGCCGCAGCCCGGGTGCGGCGTCGCTTCCCGAGCCCTCCCCTCCCGCGGGGCCGGCTGGCAGGGCGGGGGGAACGCCCCTGGGAGAAGGGATGGCTCGTTCGATGAACAAAGGAGATGGCCCGGACCGGCGCAGCCACTGCAGAGCAGCAGAAACGTTCCCTAAAATGGCGGCCGGCGCTGGGGGGCGGGGCTTCCGCTGGCGCGGCCCTGGAGGGGCGGGGCTTCCGCTGGCGCGGCCCTCGACGGGGCGGGGCTTCCGCTCGCGAAGGCCCGGGGCGGGGCGGCGGTGCAGGCGCCGGCTGGTCCCCATGGCTGCCTCGCCGGAGCCCTCGGAGCCCAGGCAGCAGAAGGTAACCTGGGGGGCGGGGGCGGGGGCGGGCGCGGGCGCGGGCGGGCGGGCGCCTCTGGAGGACGCGGCTCTGCAGCTGGGACACCGGAGGCCGGAGCACGTGCCGTTGGCTGCCCTGCCCTCCGGGTGGATCTATTCCTGAGCCCCACGTTGCCTGTGCACGGGACTCGGTAGTATATGGTCCCTGCATCGCCGGGACGAGGGAGCACTCAGCAGGAGGAGGGGCCGGTGCTAGTGAGCACCGCGGGGCTCTGGGAAAGGCCGACCGGCCGTGCGCTGTAATTCATAGTCCAGTGGGTGTGCAAGCTCCCCGAGGACGGGGCCTGGCCGTGGAGGAGCGGGAAGCTGGTGCGATTCCCGCGGGCTTCTGTGCAGAGGAGGAGATAAGGTTGGAGTTCATCTTGCTCGCTTTCGACCTCGTGGAGCACTGCAGGGCGATTGCACGTAACCCGCGTCCACCGCGGTGGCCCGGACGCGCTACCCTGTGAATTTACCATCCATGCTCGGCCACACGCTGCTTCCACCTGGGCCTGATGGTGCAAAGCCCCCGCCTGGCTGCTCCCTTCCTCCAGGTGCCCCGAAGCTGAGCGAGGCTCTGGGCCCCAGCTCCCCCGAGTGCTGCGGAGCTTCTGTCCGCACAGCCTTCATAACACCATTCATTGGGCTAGAAGCTAATCATGTCTCTTCTTTCTCTTGCGACTTAATATCCCCACTGCGTATCAGTGGCTCAATCGTGAACAGACTGAAGACCCGCAGTGCATCATAATTGCTCCTAATCTGTGGTTAGAATAGTCTCTGACCAGCTTGGAAATTGTGCTCAATTTTTCCAAGTTCATGTTTCTCTGGGGATTTTTCCACCTATATTTGGCCAAGACAGCCGATCATTCAAAGGTTCATATGAACAAATGTTGGACAAAATCCATATTCAATAACAAATTTTGCCTATTTATACAACTCTTGGTGCCTTTGGTTTTTAATATTTGGAATATATTTAGTGTAACAAAATGTACCCATTTGTAACTCCCATATTTAATATACGGAATTCTTTACGGTTTTGTGAGAACACTGGGCTCTTGAATGGAGCTTTAGTCTCTTTTATACCGGACTGTTCACTCTGATAGGAGAGAACTGCTATCATGTAATGGTCAGTCAGGGTGGTCTAATTCACGGAGAAGTGATAAAAGAATTCAATGGAAGAAAAAATTAACCTATTTAATTGGCCCAGCATTAGCAAAACAAAATACTGTAAATGAAGTCCTGTAAATTGTTCATGAAACACTACTACCTATCAAAGCTCATCAAAAAGTATAAAATAGATGTCTGAATTACGTAGCAGCCCAGGGTAGTATCAGAAAAACCAGCACTCCCCCCCCTCCGCCCCCCAAATTATTTCTACTACAATCCAGAGATGGATCTTTAAGAGTCGGCCAAGATAAAAATGGGGAAGGGCCCTGGCCAGTTTGGCTCAGGGGAAAGAGCACTGGCCTGCAGACAAAAGTGTCAAGTTCAATTCTGGTCAAGGGCATGCACCTTGGTTACAGGCTCCTCCCCAGGCCTTGATCGGATCTGTTTCCGTCTCCTTCTCATCCACCCTATCTAAAAGATCAATGGAAAAATATCCTTGGGGGAGGATTAAAAATAAGAGAGAAAGGTTATTAAGCTAGCATACCTGATAGAACTAGCCCTTAAAAACTTTTATTCTGCTCTTATTCTTTGCTTGAGAAAATTTTAAAATATGAAATTTGGAATCTGGCTGCTATGGCTCAGTTGGTTGGCCAATTCATCCTCTGTAACAAAAGGAAAACAATGTGGACACTGAGGCAGATACATTTGGCAATGGGAAATGAGCTGGGTTAATTTGATCTGATCTGTTTCCTATAAATTATTAAATTGGTGTTCTGGCTTAGAAACTTTGAACTTCCCTTGGTTCTATCAAGGTCAGCTGGTAATGTTGCTTTTATAAATCACAGAATAGGTCTATAAAATATTCGAAAAATTCCTTAGTTTAAGGGCTAAATTCATTACTGACAAGTTAAAACTTAAGACTAATTAGGGAATAAAGAAATGTTAATTTTCATTTCTGAGAATCTTACTGGACTAGTTATCTGGAAATTAACAGTAATCAATACTCTGAACCAGTGAATTTCAACCTTTTTTCATCTGTGGCACACATTACTAAAATTGTGGCACTCCAAAAGGCACTTTTTGCTGACAAAAAAATTAGGTATGGTTCATTCACACCAGATGTCTGTTGTTCACTGTTGCCATTTTAAAATTTGACAATCTAATGGGAGAAAGGTCAGTGCCCCTGACTAGTCAGATTTGGTCATGTTTCTAATTTCCCCCCCAAATATATTTTATTGATTTCAGAAAGGAAGATAGGAACATCAGTGATGAGAATTACCAATTGGCTGCCTCCCGCACACCTCACTTGGGGATTGAGCCCGAAGCCTGGGGCTGTGTCCTTGATCGGAATCAAACCGGGAGGTATCTCATCTTAAATACTGCTCATTCTTACCGTTTTCATAAAAGCTGCAGATACCCAATTATGTATTTTAGTCCTATTACTCCCTAATGTGTGGTCTTTGGAAGCTGACTCCTGTGAGCCTTGGTTTTTCCCATCCATAACCAAAGGGGTAAAGGATACAGTGGAAAGGACGAGGGGCAGCGGTGGGTAGAAGTTCCAGATCAACTTCCATTCTGTCAGCACCCTACAGCTCTCTATGTAAAGACCCTGAGCCGTTTCAGAGATCTCAGAGGTCAATGGGAACTCAACAGAGGGGCTGTCAAGGGCAGGACACCGATACCCCCACCAGCTCCACTGAAGCGGTTGTAGGCCAGCATTGGTTTCTCAACCACAACAGGTTACATCATAGAATGTTCAGCGGCAGAATCCTGGGCCTCTAGCCACACGCTGCTTCTAGAAGGGATCACCTTAAATAGGGTATGTAATTTCTGGGAGATGTTTGTTTAAAGAGACCTGAAGTCGTCTAAACATTCCAATGGCCTATCCCAGATCTGACTTTTGAAAATATCTTCTAAAAAATCAGGTTACCTGGATGGCTTAAATAACACAATTTGGCCACGCATATATTTTATGTACTGGTCAGGAATTGGGGTGGATGGCATTTTTCACAAGTGTCCCAGGAAATGTTTGTCTGCAGATTCTGGTGTAGGCTGGGGGGTGTCACCCCAGGGCTCCATTATAAAAGGGAACCCAGACTTGAAAATTCCAGAGGCCTTATAGAAACCCGTGTGATCTTTGGTGGAGATGTCCTGCTGGTCATGGTGCGTGGACAACCCTTCTCACCCAAAAGTGCAAGCCACACCTTCTACCCGTTAGCGCCTCCTAGCCCAGCACCCTAAGCCTCCTTCCCCCGGGAGATAGCTGGCTTGGAGGTGGTGAGCAGAGCCCAACATTCCCCACCTGCAGAGCAGCTACACCCTCACCTCCAACCACAGGTTCCACTGGGCTTCTGAGCTGATAAGCTGATTTTTTTTTTCTAAGTGAAATGAAAAGCCTAGAAGCACAATTCACATATGTATATGAAAATTTGTGTTCAAGAGCTTTCCAAACTGAAGTGCAGTATTAATGAACACCTGCTGTGTGCATGAAGTAACCTGTGTTCGGGGGAAGGGTTAGCAGGGAGAGACCAGAGGGAAAATGGAATAGAATGATCCAAGAGAGTGTGAAATTGTTGCTTTATTATGAACCAGGTCACACATTGTCTTCCCTGGCAGAAGCTTAAGCTAAAGCAGCAAATAGGAAAATACAACCAAGATTGTTATTTCAACTTTTCACCGGATTTCCTTCCCCACTTGTGACCTGTCTGTCCCTTACATTACACCTAGTCTTAGAGAAACCTCCTCGCCCTTTGGCCTCCCAATGGAGTTACTGAATGGACAAGCAGCTTTCTTTTAAAAGCCACATTACTGAAAACCTGCTTAAGTTTTCTACTTCTTTTTCATTGAACAGAAATGCCACAATGAAACATAGACGTGACTTTTTTTCTTGAACATCCAATCTCGTATCAGGCAAGGAAACAGATCAGGAGTTATAATGCCTAATGTTTACCTTTACATTAAATATTCTTTAAATATTTTTATTAATTTCAGAGGAAGGGAGAGGGAGAGACATCAATGATGAGAATCATTGATTGGCTGCCTCCTGCACACCTACTGATCAAGCCCATAACCTGGGCATATGCCCTGACTGGGAATCGAACCGGTGACCTCTTGGTTCCTGGGTTGATGCTCAACCACTGAGCTATACACTGCTGGGCTAAATATTTATTCTTGTAACTACTGATGTTCACCTCATCATTAGAATTGTGCTAGTCCCACTCATGCTTCCCAAATTTCATAACTGTTTAAAGAGCTCATAAAATGTGCTTATCTCTAGCCTTAGCCAGTTTGCCTCAGTGGATAGAGCGTTAGCCTGCAGACTCAAGGGTCCTGGGTTCGATTCCAGTCAAGGACACTTGCTTGGGTTGTGGCCTCCATCCCCAGTGTGGGGGATGCAGGAAGCAGCCAATCAATGATTCTCAGCATTGATGTTTCTATCTCCCTCTCCAAAATCAATAAAAATGTATTTTAAAATGTGCTTATTTCTAAACTACTTAATTAGCAAATTATTACCTAACATCAAAATTCAATGGGTTTAGGTATGTTATTCTACTAGGGGCTTTCTGGTTAATTAAATTATCAAAGTTTCCCACTAAGATTCAGCTTCAGATTGAAGACCAAAAGCAGGATGTTAAAAGGGACTGATTCCTGGTCATATTATTTGCCAAACCACTGTGATCTACAATATTTTCTTGTTCAATCTAGGTTCTTTTTTATTTCATCTTAGACCTTTAAGCTCCTAGGCATTTTAGATGTCGAGAACATCCCCTGTGCACGGGGCTCAGTGTTATATGGCTCATTAGGATCCGTTGTGGCTGGCCTCGGACATTTTTTGTTAACTAGTGAGTATCTACTTTTCTCTGTATAAACACACACCTATATGCAGCAAGCTGTTATTTTCTAGATGAAGTAATGTGTCATGTATAACAATGACAATGGCTGTGCTTTTTGACAGGTAGAATTCGAAGATCATGCGATGTTGGAGTAGGAGGATTTATTGTCGTGACTTTAGGATACTGGTATGTACACTGAGCATTCAAGGGGACCCAGGATTATAGGTTTATCCAATTCCAACGCACGTGCCCTTTCCCGAGCAATTTCCCACCCTCAGAAATGATATTGCTGGAATGTCGTAATCCTTTCAGTATGTGCATGTACTCATTCTATACCATTTCTGGAATAAATAGATGGCTGCATAATATGCCACTAATGCCAGGTTATGGCTTATACTTCGGTTATGAAGGCCTCCACCCTGTACCTTATACCCTAACTTCCATTTCACCCCCTGCTCCCAGCCTATCTGATGTTACTAAGAACTGATACAGCATGGATAACTATCAACTGCTTTCATCAGCAAAAAATGCCCGACACAAAGTACTCTCGTTCCATTTAATCAGGTTCTAAAAATTAAGCTAAGGTGACAGGATTCCTCATCTTATAGGAGAAAAATATGCTAATTGTCTGTTACACAGTGAGGCGTGACAACTGATCACAGATCTGCAGGAGGGTGGGCAGGGGGTGGAGAGCTACAGAAGGGTGGCAGACCAGCTGGTGCACGGATTCATGCACAGGGCTCCAATTTATATAAAACATCGTGTTCATAGGTATTGTTGAACCAAACCACCAGATTAGGATGGTTATATTTTCAATCTCAGGATACTCATATGTAAGCATTCCTGAATTTTATTACTATAAAATGTCAAATGTTTCTATAGGAACTTAATATATTAACAGCTTTGTATTCTTCTTTTCCAAGGCTCCATTGTAGGTATAATTATGCAAAGCAAAGAATCCAGGAAAGAATCACCAGAGAAGGAATTAAAAATAAGATTTTATATGAAAGTACCCACCTTGATCCTGAAAGAAAACAAGCCAAGAGCTGAACAGTCTCGAGCATAGAACCCAAATACAACTACTGATGTCAGTGTGAACCAAGATGAGATCAACTATGTAAAACATTGCATGTACCACACAGTTTTCAATCAAGTAAATAAACCATGTGTAAGCTGTAGTCTCTTTCACTTGTAGAAACATTTTATGAGCTTACTAGAGGCCCGGTGCACAAATTCGCACACAAGTGTGGTCCCTCGGCCTGGCTGGGATTGGGACATTGTGGCTGTCTTGCCTACCTGATTGGGGCCGGCTGGTGGGAGGGGCCGCAGGAAGTTGGCTGGCCGTTGTGGGAGTGCACGGACCACCCGGTGGCAGCTCCTGCACTGAGTGTTGGTGTGCATCATAGTGACCGGTGGATCAGTCACTCAGTTATTCTGTTCTGTTGATTAGGTATCTATTACCAGTATAGCTTAATAATGGACTTGGCATACAAAACAAAGTGTTCAGCAAGTTTAAAAAAGTTCCTTTGCAGTGAGTGTAATGATGTCCATTTAAAAAAATAAAATCCCAGTTATATTTTAAAACTTGCCTTAAAAAACAATCATACTTCCTGGTTTCTTTTTAAAATACATATTTTTTATTGATTTGAGAGGAAGGAGGAGAGAAAAAATGATGAGAATCTTCGATTGGCTGGGGATCAAGCCCACAACCCTGCCATGTCCCTGACCAAGAATTGGACCCTGACCTCCTGGTTCATGGCTCCACATTCAAGCACTGAGCCACACCAGCTGGGCACATCCTAATTTCTTAAACCAATGATAGTATAAGACTTGAAGCTAATAGACTGGATCACTTTGCAAATTATTTTAAAAATGTGGTCTATTGCTTGACACTATTCTTCCATGTGTCACACAACAGGTAAAGATTGCTTTTTAACTGTTCTAAATATGTTTTGGGAAGTATGCACGGTTTTAAGTTTTATGTAGAATTTAAATATGCACAAAATACTTTCAAAACTTGTTTGATGCAAAGGAGAAAGAACTGCCAGATTACATAGCAGCATCAAACTGATAAGACATTTATAATTCATTCTTCTGCCATTTTTTTTTTTTTTAAAGCAGCCAATGTACAACTCAACCCACAGCATTTATTCATTCAGGAAAACTTCCTCTCCTAAGCAGTGACTTTTCTTGTTTCAAAATCAACATTTAAAAAAAAGTGTTAAATAAAATACATGCTAGGTCTTCCTGGTTATGATAAAGTAATTTATTGCTATTTGAGGGTTAGGGTGCCTAGGCTATGAGGTTTACCAAATGCCATAACGGCTAGTCTAGTGAATGACATCGTCACGCACCTGTCCTAATGTTTATTGATCCTAATCATCTTGGCAGCCACCAAAGGAAGGACTTGGCATTGATTAGAGAAGGGTATCAGGAAGGAAAATGCTGTTGACAAGGTCTTGCCCACTCTTACTGACACAACACTGAATGCAGTCTACGTTAATCATATTACAACCACTAAATACTATGTTTTTAAGAAGCCTTGAGGTGACACTCATTTAAGAGGCTGCACAAGTTGGGGAAAATGTGACGAGTACTCATCAAAGCTGGTATTTAACAAGCTGTGCAGGCCACTTGTGTCCTTAGCTTCAGTTTACAAATATATGTAACATATAAAACTAGGCAGCTGGATTAAGTAACTAAGGCTTCTTCTAGCTCTAGCATACTATGTATGGTCACATCTTACCTAGGGTGAGAGAAGCCTCTCTCGGCTGGTGAAAATTTCCAGGACCCTCACCAACAACAAGGTTGTTTTCATTTTTCACAGCAGGATGCTTTATAAATTGCAGACCTAGAGAAAAACGGGGAGATGTCACTTTGTAAATATACACGATCATTAATACGATGTATCTTTTTATTTAGTAAGGTTTTAGGAGAGTATTACTGAATTATCAGACTCCAGGCCCTGTATCACATTGCTCTGCACACATTTGACAAGGCCTCCATTGTACATCTTGACACTTCCACTTCTAGCCTTTCCGGTCCATTTCCACTCTGCTACCCCACTTCCAGTCCAATCACCCCTATCTTCAGGGCACTTTGGGCTACCATGACCTGAATTCATAACTCCACAAACTTCTTAATTTCACTGCAAGTATCTTCTACTTCCTCTATGTAACTTTTTTTTTTTTTTTAAATATATTTCATTGATTTTGTACAGAGAAGAAGGGAGAGAGATAGAGAGTTAGAAACATCGATGAGAGAGTCATCGATCAGCTGCCTCTTGCACACCCCCTACTGGGATATGCCCGCAACCAAGGTACATGCCCTTAACCGGAATCGAACCCGGGACCCTTCAGTCCCCAAACCGACGCTCTATCCATTGAGCCAAACCGGTCTCGGCCCTCTCTGTAACTTTTTATCCTCCTGGTCACTAACCTCTGGGGATTAGGATCACCTGTTTCAGTAGGTGGCACTTCCACTGACCTGTGCTGCAAGTTGAGCCTAAGTGTCTTGTCAAGAACCCTGTCAATGCTATCTTCACATTCCGACCGAGTGTCACCAAACAGTCGCCACTTGTTTGTTACAGTGAATTACTAAATGTTCACCAGCAAATGGACAGAAACCAGGTTCCCTTCTCATCCAAGCGCACACTTCAGATTTTAGTCTCAAAGAGGAACCTACCTTCCACGCTCACCTGGAGCCTCCAGCTGCACCATGTCCGTCAGGGTCCCAGCAAATCCGAAAATGTCACACGAGGTGACGTAGCAGTGGGTACCAGCTAAATAGCTGATTGAAATAGAATTGCAGCCGTTAGTAGTTTTGACGACGTCTTGTGGCTTATCATACCTACTTTAACTTTCCAGTATTTTAAACATTTTCCCCCTTCCCTCGCCCCTCCCCTTTGCTTTGACTACTCGATTTTACATTTTAATAAAAGGACCTCAGGGAATTAAAATTAACTTCAAGCTTCTCTCTGGACTTGTAATTGATATTGACCAAGTTAGGCAACAAGAAATTTTTTACTATCCCTACTTCCGTTATTTGATTTGCAAGCATCTCTTTAGTCTACGTACCTCTACTCCATCGCTGGATTCCCTTTGCTTCCATTATATAATGCGAGGAGGTCTATATAATAAATTCAGGATTCCTGTTTATGCACTTTTCAGCACAGAGCTAGGGATCAAATAGGGTTTGAATCCTTCTATTCCTAGATAAAAATCTGTTGCAAATGGGGGTCAAGACACCCCTTTAAAAGTCATGTTAATATATACACTATGCTTTGGGTAAGCAGAAAACCTTAATGAGGAAAGTAGGAAAATTAAAACGATTGCTATGATTGATTTTAATGGTCCTCCAGAGTGAAGGATTTTTGGAAGCATCTTAAAATATTGTCCAGTGGTCATCAAATCAGGTCAGTGTAACATACCAATATCCCTTTACCACCCAAATACTGTTATCTTACACATTTACTTTGTGCATGAAGTTCCATCTCTTAAATTTTCTCTTAAAAGGGAAGCTTTAGGAACACAAAACTTATGAAGGCATTTCTCAAAGTATTACATTTTCAAAAGGTTGTAACATGAGCACTACAAATATGCTATAGTCTTTTCAACCACTGCCTTTGCCTTCCTCATTTTCTAGAATGATGACTTTCTCCCCAAGTATTTCTATATGAGAAAGCAATCCGTGACACTGAGCAAGGACTGCTCACTGTAAGCTTAGCTATGGGCTCTTCAGAAGCCATTAGATTTTTAGTTGGCAGATTAGAACTCTTTGTTTCATTGAAAACCGAGCTACATTTCAAATCAGTATAGCACCCAAGTCCACTCATTTCACCAAAATACAGTATGATGGGATAGCAGCAGGAAAATGTCCTCTAAGCTCCTTATCAAGCTTAAACACCTCAGAGAAGGCAAAGCTCCCTGAGCCTTATTCCTTCCTTATAACTTAAGTTTACTTCCTGGATTATCACTTCGTTATCCAAAAGGATCTCAATCACCTTTTTGTTTTGTTTTTTTAATACTTATGTACTTTGTATAGATGCGTAAGTTTTGGGGAGACTAAGAACACAGATATTCTTTTTATTTTTTTGCATCAGAATACTACATTTAAAGTCTACAGGGATAGAGGACATTGTAACAAATGTCTTGCAAAAAGTTAATGAATTCAAACAATCAGAAGGTTCTAACCTTAGAGGACTGGGCTCTATTTGCATATACTGCAAATATCTATGCCAGGGGACCACCCACTTCAGGTATGGGAAAGAGAAATCAAACTTTTTTTTTTTTTTTGGTATAGAACCTACCCATCTGCTTACCAAGTTTCCCCCATCCCCTCCATCTTTTTAAAAGAAGGGGAATTTTAACTAAGGTGCTCCTAGAAACTCAACGTAACAAGTGTTAAAGGTACAAGCAGCAATTAATTTGGAATACCTATTGGAATGACTGGAACAGATTTAGTTGGGCCCTTTTACTCTTCCACACAGCACATTCACATGGACAGACTAAGGAAAAGGAGATGAAATTTAAATCAGCACATTTTCTTTATTACTTAAGAGAAAAAAACGGTGAAGTTGGAACCTTTTATATTGTACTTAACCAGGAGTCCTGTATCTCTCTTAACTGTTACGAAACACCTTAATAGCTCCCTTAAAAAAAAAAAAAAAAAGTAACCTGTTAGCTGCCACTTACGTAAGCCCCGATCATTCTGAAGTATTGGTTTTATATCATCTCTCTAGGTGCCTTAACATTTTAAACTTGTGTTCCTCAAGTTGGATGTCTATGGTGTTTTCACCTACAAATTTTCTGGTAGTAATTTGTGGCAATGCCTCTCAAGTGCTTGGCAAGCATAGGTTTACTTGGACAAAACTAATTTTACCTCCTGGGCGATGGCGGACTGTGGAAGGAACGGCAGGAAAGAACATGCCACAAATAGATGTGTGTATCAGCTAGATGCTATGTCGGCCTCCCTAGCCTACAATCCCTGCATTCCTCCAGTTTGCAGACACTCGAGCTGGACACAGGAGTGACTGCTGTGCCATAGGAACAGCCACAGTAAGGGGCTGAACCTTCCTTGCATTTCTCCGTTTGTCTCGAATGTTATCACCTCACTACTTGATTAGTGTATAGCTGCTCATATCCACAGATTCAGCTTTGTCAAAAGTAAAACCCCCAACTGGTTTGGCTCAGTGGATAGAGCTTCAGCCTGTGGACTGAAGGATCCCAGGTTCGATTCCAGTGTACCTTGGTTACAGATACATCCCCAGTAGGGGGTGTGCAGGAGGCAGCTGATCAATGTTTCTCATTGATGTTTCTCCCTATCCTCCTACCTTCCTCTCTAAAAAATTAATAAAATATATTTTAAATATATATAAAAAAAAAAACCCTGTTCCTTGTCAAGTTGCAAGTTACTGGCGACTCTGGCATAGGAAGGAAACAATATTCCTAAATAATCATTAGGTAATTACAGATTAAACACATGGTCACATTCCTTATCCAACCTAACCAAGCAGTGATTATGGATCTTCTGGCCTATCAGCTACCTGCTCCATTCATTCCCCTAATACTGGATCTGCCACTGCCTAAAACCACTTATCTACATAATGCTGAAAAAAAAAATGAACTTATCTGGCTTTCCACATGGATAACACTTTCTAACTTAATCACATAAGATATTTACATTCTTTGAGTAATTAACATTTCTCACCTACTTTCAATCTACTAGCCCTTATAGTTCCTTGGACAAATTAAAACATATTCAACCACCTATTATTTATAGTCAATTGGATAGGATGTGAGAGTATATCCTGTGTAAGTGCATAGTCATCTTAGTATTAACTAAAAAACACACCTTAAAAATTAGAGTAACCTTAAAAAAACCTCAAATGCTAAACTGGCTAACCCTACCATCTGCATGTTTTGGTGTGCAAGTGGAGTAATGCCTGGGCCAGTAAGAAAACTTCAATTTTAAAAATTACCCAAAGGAAAAGGCTCCTCTCCATATCAAAAGGGTATTAATAGACTATTTTTAGATTAAATATAGGCAATTAATGATTTGAAGAGACTACAGTTTACGTAATGCAAATTGCTGTTCAGAGAGCTGAGGCATTGAGGGATTTTTATTCAAAGCACTAACAACCCCTTTGAAACTTAATGGATTGCCAGGCCATAATCTACTCTTGCTTTTATTAACTACTTACTAAAATGTTAAAACGTAAACCCAGTTCTTCTCAAAGCCCCAGAAATAATGACATACTCAAAACATTTCAAGAATTTTAGGGATAAAATGGTATTTGAAAGTATTGTGTTCATCTTTTTAGAATATCCCGATGACTATTCTGGAGGGCTGGACAGTAGAGAAGTTCCATTTTTTCAGGCATTCTAGTTACGTCTAAAAAGGAAATTATGGAAATTTGTTTTTAAGATGTGCATGAGAAACTAAAAGATGGAAATGTATACTTTCTTTAGCATAATCTTACCTGAATTTGGTTTGGCTTTTCACAAACATCAAATATACTGTAAACTGACAATCAGATCTTTATGAGATGCCAATACTATTATCTAAAAAGCACTAAAATAATTCATCTTTTTCACTTGTGCAATGGGACCTATTATAAAAATGATCCTAGGATTAAAAGCCAATTTACACTTAATTCCCACAACTGAGGCAAATATTAAATACAGAAGAGACTGTTCATGAATGTAAAATATGTTTAGGTGAAAAACGTATTACCTTTCCTGGAAAACTTAAGTACTTTTCCTAAGGAAAATGTCTTTAAGATGCTTTAAATACCTTGTTGCTAGTCTCCTATTTTTCAGACAGGATGGACCCTAGGCAAATGAGACCTTGTTTTGTGGGTTTACTATGGCTTCTGTCTGCCATTTTAAGATTTCACCTTGCCATCTGTCAGAGCTGGTCATAGCCTTCTAGGTCAGAGCCCTCCATGCAAGGCTAGAACCAGTGACAAGATGGAACCTACCAGCAACAGAGAACTTAAGTCATGTCAGTTCACAGTACTTCATTTCTATCTTGCCATTTTTTCTTTTCTGATTAACCTCTTTATGTTGTTAATGGCTTTAATACTACGGTAGTTGACCGATCTGATCCAACTCTTGACTTGTATCTGCAGAGCTTCCTAGTGAACTGCAGAACTTTCTAGTGAAAGCACAGTGAGTGTTCCCTAGGTATAGTTGGGACCTTTGTGTTTTTGTTTTGCTTTCCAGGAGAGGTAGGCAGTGGATAAAACAAGTTTCTCATTCACAGATCTTACTCTGCTAAACTTGGCATTTCTCCATTTGCTTGCTATTTTGTGCTCTTACTGTTCTGTTTTATATACTTCCCAAGATTATTTCTTTTAATATAACCATAGGCCTTATTACTAATTCTGATCTGGAGACTCCTTAAGTCTATTAAATAGTGCCTGTCGTTTGGCCATTACTCTTCCACTGCAAATTATTAGAGTATGGTTCTTAGTAAGCAATATTGAACTACAAGGTATAGTCAAGATTTTTTAAAGGCACCTAGACATTTAGATTACCTTAGCATTCATTAGCAACAAAGTTTGAATTTTGCCCCCTGGGTTTAAATTAAGTCTATGCAATCCTAGTAATAATGTACACTGCAAAGTAGCTCATGCTAGTCACTGCCAGCAGCTCGCTAATTGCAAAAAGACAAAAGCCCTTGAGACACTGCTTGTGCTGTTAAGTATTCTTATGGTGATTTTAAGATTAGTCCTGTTCCACAATTTATCAACTGAAGCTACCTCCACCAACATCTAAAACTCAACTCCAGCTCAGCTTGTAGGAAAAAAATTCTAGTTTAAGTTAAAAATCTGATTTGAGTGGCTAAAAACAAATCTAAGCAATCAAATATAGACAAACCTCAACTTACCAGAAGCAACCTAAAATACCAACCAAACACTAGACTAAAGCTTTAGTTCTACAGTTTGACTCCTGATTCCTCACTTCACATTAGTGAGGTTCCTTTAGAAGATTAAGTGTTCTGTGCAAACCCAATAAAATTACAGTTCGGGGATCTAATGTCATCACATAGCTACAGACAAGTTAGCAGTGTTGTGTAGTAGTGAAATCAACTGGCTTGCATGATGGCTTCTAAAAGCATCTGTTCCCAGAGTTTCATGTATTACGTATGTATATAAAATATCAGTGAGGACAGCCATTAGCGTTTTGTAAGATGATAAACTGAGTGTTAACTTCTCCCAGCCATTACCTTTTCCCCTCATTAAATGTTAAGTCATCTGTGGGGGAGGGGAAGGGAAGGATTCAACTTTACTTCATAATTCAGATCAATCGTCAGTATACATTTAAGTTTTTAAAACCTAAATGTTCCAAGTACAGAGTAAAATAAGCTGTCCAGAGAGCACACACTTAGGTTTTCTCCTCTTGGGAGTTTTAAAAAGGGATTTTGAACCTTGATGGCGAGAATCCCAAAACGAGAGTAAAATGAATATTTTATTGCAAACAAACGTCTAAATTAATTTCTCCACCCACTTTCTTTAGAAAGAAAAAAGAAATCAGCAGGCTAAGGAGATACCCATTCAAGAACTGACATGATTAAAAATTAAGATATAAATGGGTGACTCACAATTGCATTTAGCTTACAAAGATGGTGGAGTTAACTACTACAAGCACACTAGTTATACAGTATTTTGTGGGAGAAGGGCATACAGACATAGCTAACTTCATATAGATCCCATTAGACAACTGGATTTACAACAAGTTTTTTTAATAAGAAATGGGCAAAGCCAGCTTTCTTTTCAGAATCAAAATGCAGAACAAATGGAAAATTATGGTATTTAACCTTCACAAGTTTGAGCCTCCACAAATAATACAACCAAGTTTTACATTTTTAACAGCCCTTCTACATACACTCCATCTTCTCTATCTTGGTTCCAAGTTTTATCTTCATTCAATTATGCCAATTCCAATGTTATTTAAAAAGAAAAAGCCTTCCCAGTTATTGTCAGAAACTACTGTTTAGCATACCCCCTCCACTACTCAGCAAACTACAGAGAGGATGGAGTGTAATATGAGCAGTACAGAGTCTTAGGCAATTCATGAGGACCACTTAAGTCCTTACATGAATCTGGTTGCTAACATTTCTATTATATTGTGACAATGACTCCCGACTGTTATCTCTGAGAAATGGGGGGAGTAAATTCTTAATAAAAGACACCAGGTACAAAGCAACATTTTACTTTTGTTGTGATAAAAAAAAAAAAATCACATTTTACAGATAAAATGTAGAACCCTGAAATACTGACACATTCTCTTATCGTGCACAATGCTGAGGTTCTCTTACGATTCACTTTAAAACTGCAATTAAAAATGTACAAAAAAGAAAAGAAAAAAAATCAACCCACAAAGCTTCTAAAAAAGGAACCCGCAGGCACTTCCTCTTGTGGAATGTTTAAAAAGTTAGCCTACTAAAGAAAACAGTCGACTTCTTGTGAAGGTTTTGGAGAAATATGTATCAGTTCGTTTTATTTGGGTATTCAATAATATCCTTGGTGATAATGCTGACTCCATGGCTTCTGACCCCAGAATTGCTGTAAGAGAAAATTTGTTTTTAAAGAAAAAACATCAATAAGCCACTCAAACTGCTTTTAGGAAATGACAATGAATCTAATTCAGAGTAATTGCTGGAAACAAATTTATAACTGTCACACCTCTGATTTCTATCAAACCATGTTCAATTAGTATTAATATCCCATTATCATCATCAATAAACACATTACAAAAGGAAACACATCAGGACTTGGTTAGTTTATACAATTAAAGCTAATAGTAAAAAGAACCATATGTATTAAATACTAATTAAAAAAATACTAAGTTATACCAAACATCAACCCATTTTACCTTCAAAAGATTAAGATTATGGCTACGACTGCACAATTCACACCTTGCCCTGTAACACTTACAAACACTTCAATCTCTGGGTAACATCTTTTTGAAGGATGATTCTTAAGAAAAAATACAATTTAATGTACTAAGCACATAAGAAACTACTTACACCCTGCTGCCACTGGTTGTAGCCCTGAGACTGATTTTTATAGCCACGATTGTTTCCTCGTCCTCTGAAGTTCTAAAATGTAAAAAAAAAAAAAAAAAATCCTTAAGAACTCGGAGCACAACAACTTAGGAGGTTTGTACATGGGAAGGGAGAGGGGGCACAGCACAGAAATGGGATAGTTGCTAATTAGTGTACCTGAAAATCAAATTTAATTAAGTAGACTCATTTTACTGCCATCACTAATTTTTCTTATGTCGGTGCATTTACACTGTGTTCCTACAATTCTTACCGAGGCTATGAAATACAAGCTTCCTCTTTTTAGACTAATTTATGCACATAATTAGGGATCAGGGCATGCAGGGATCATAAATTTTTACCTGGTTGTAGTTCCCTCTGTTGGGCATTCCACCTCTGTTGTAGTTCCCTCCTCTGTTTGAATAGCCACCTCGGCTGCTAAACACAGGGCCACGTGGGTATGGATAGCCAATTCCACCACTTCCGCCTCCGCCACCACCTCTCTGCGGCATGTTGCCTCTCCTGTTATAGCCACCACGATTCCCAGGAGCTAAAAAACCAAGAGATACTTTAGATTACAGTGTGTCGTGCCCCCTTTACACATATGACTTAAGAGTTCTTCTGGACCATTGCCTTTGTTTTAGGGGGAAAATAAATGTTTAAAGGTGAAAGTAATAATTTAATTTAACCACTGACATAATCTAGGTGTGTATCCTACCAAATCACATTAAAACTTTTAAAACTTTCAACTAGGAGCTAGGACCAATATGAGGATCAGTTTTCCTATGTTAAATTCAGCTAAATAACATGTAGACCCAAATCAGAAGATTTTCACTTGTGTCAATCTCCAATCAAATAGAGAATACTGCATGTTCACTTGCCTCCTCCTCTGAAATTCCCACCACGCATATTGAATCCACCACGTCCTCTGTGGCCACCTCCTCTGTTAAACTGGTTCTTGCCACTCTTATTTTTATTGCTCTTCTGCTTCTTTTCGGGGTGAAGAGCCTTTTTGCTCTCTTCCTTATATTGCTTCAAAAGTTTTTGGGCCTCCTCCTTCTGAAGTTCCACATAGGTTATCTCATCAAAGCACTCGGCTACCTCTGGCAGTGTAAAGTTTCCTATAAGTGTGTGGGGGGGGAGGAAATAAAGTCAGATTAGCACACATTCACAATCCTTAAATCTCCAATTATTGAATGGCTTGAAGTTTTTCCACACACACTACAATTACTAATGCATTTTCCTAAAAGTAGAGATAAGCCAAACACTCATTTACAGAGTTAATGTAAATCCTGGAACAGTATCACTAGCAAAAACTATTAATTTAAGTTTACAGATATAAGTCACAGGAGGAGACTACTGTGCCAACAGAATAAAATTCCATGCCTTTCATTTTGAGGACGGCATGTTCTGGGAGGTCCTTGCCCTCCACTTCTGCTTTCTTCTGTGTCCTCTGCTTGTAGTCTTCATCCTTCGGGCAGACGACCACAGCTTTCCGCTGGAAGCCCGCGAACAGGCACATTTTTCTCCTCTGGGCAGCAGCAGACACATTTGTCTTAAAAAAAAAAAAAAAAAAAAAAAAAAGCTATTTATTAATTCTACACCAAACCAACTTTCAGTTACTTTTCTCACTTCAAAGCCAAGGAGCTTACCTGATCCAGAATAAAATTCCGCTTCTTGCGAGCAGCAATCTCAATAAATTTCCCAAGACATTGTGGCGCTCTCTGCAGCAGGGTGTTCAGTTTGCCTGTATCTGCCATTTGCTTCTTAAAGCCTGCTACCTGTTTTTAAAAGCGAGAAGTTTCCTTTGAGCTTGTGGATATTAAGCTAAGCATCAGCTTAACTCTCTTACATAGAAAACAGGCAACATTTTAAAATTTAAATATTGCCATTTCCCACTATTGCTGTAATGAAAAGGGTCACTAGCATGTAGTAAGACCCCAAGCTATTCATAATCTTTGTAGCTCTTGTATGGTGAGAACTTAATTCTTTAAAAGACAATGAAGCCTAGAATTTGGAAAGCAGTTTACCTTACATTTAAGTAACCAATTTCACTTTCCCCCAAATCCCCTCTCTTAAATACTATCAAAATGGATAAGGACATTAGGCAGAAGGATTACTTAGAACACCTTCAGGTCTTTTTAAAATGCCGAGATCATACCCTAAACATTCTACTTACCATCATTTTATCCATTATGGTATTTGTTCCAAGAATGTTGTATTTACCAGGATTTTCTGCTGCATGTTTAGTAACCCAAGTAGTTTTCCCAGCTCCTGGCAAGCCGATCATCATAACCACCTACAATGGAAAGAAAAGTCTTTTCACTGTCTACTCATCAGAAGCCACCTAGTAATTTAAAAATATATTTTAATGCACAAAACCCATATCTGAATTTTCATAGCACTGTAACAAAGGATTTGTTTGTGGAAAATTTAACACTCCACATAGAGAAGATAGCTACTTAGAGAAAAATTACAGGAATGGCATTAAGTAAATGTCACTTTTGCCCAAACAGAAGCAGTGCTCAAATGCTTTTTAAAAAGTCACTTACTTCACAATCTTTCTTCTCTTCAGGCCCCTTTGGACCTCTAACTCGGTCCTCCAAGGGAACGTTCTGGATCAAAGTATAGTCTTCAGGTATTGGAAAATATGGCTTTTCCTTCTGACCAAAATTGAACTCAACAGCACAGTTGTGGCAGAGAACATGTGGGAAGAGTGGCCGATCAGCAAGAACTTCCTTGCTGATTTTGAAGGCAACACCAAGGTCCTGTCCATTCTTTGCATAGGAGAGTTCTACTTCATCGCTTTCAAAGTTCTGTTAAGAGAGAGTGGGGGTGGGGAGATTAAGTTTTAATCTCTTTCCTGTAAAACTTCTAAGAAACTTCAAAATTCAGAGGGAAGTTTATCCTATGGAAAACCTATTTAAGTTCAATCTATATCCAAAAGCAGAAACAATACTGCTTTAGAAGGTAAGACTAGATTTATCAAAATGTGTTAGTAGTGAATATTAATATTGACAGATATAAAAAAAAATTCTTAGCATATAACTTGACATTTATACATAAAAACTTGACTATGACTTACAGCAAAACATGTAATCACATCATTTTCATCAAACTTCTCTCCATAATCTTCAGTCTCACAGTTGCATGTTTTTATTCCTTTTAGAGAATACCCATAAGAAAATTCTTCTTCTCCTAAAAATAATAATGAACCACCATGAAGTTAATTTTTTTCAAAACATCTCAATGACCCTTACGTTAGTGTTCCTGATTTAAGGTTTTTTAAAAATTGAGCATATACTATTCTTTCACATACACTGACTTTATACTAGATATAGATTTGCAAATTGCATAAAATGGATAACAGTCTATCTTAAGTATTACTGGTCATAAAACAAATAAAAGAACAAAAACTAAAACTTAGCCTATGCCTACTACATGCTAATGTTATTAATCTCACTTAAAATATTAACAGAATTGGACAAAACAAGCAAAATATTTGGAATGCCTTCTAATCTACTCTACTAAAATCAGATCCTAAACACTCATTGAGTATACAGTATTCAGAAACTTTACCAAGTAGCATTCCACTGGTGGTTAGAGACCAGCCAATCCGAACTTCATGGATGTCAATGTCTTTTGTATATAAATGCCTTACTGGGATCTTCTCTGTAACCTGAAAGTCAAATCACTAATGATTAAACTATAAGCCAAAAGATAAATCCTTTTCATTCATGGGGTAACTAACTCTTCTCTGGCTATTATGACAAAAGTCTTCCACTCAAGAACTTAAAAAATTTATATAAGGAAGGTTTAAGTATTTGGTTGAATGATGTTTAAAAGAACAGTTAATGTTTAAAAATTACATCTTCTCAATACTCAACCTACAACAATTAAAGCACACAGTTAACCTTTTTTCCTCTGGAACAAAACCGAGAGTCTATTTTTAAACCTTGGTGAGTCTTTTCAAGTGCCACACTTTTAATAAAAATGGGGCTGGCTGTGTACCACAAATTCTGATCAAACATGGTCAACTATTACAAAAGGTTTCTATCCCTCTTCTAACTCACAGAAACTTCCAAAAATAAAAAGTTCTACTGATACACAAAATATTGCCAGGTAAGTGGAAACTCCAAAGGTTCTTACAAAACACAAAATCCTATGTACCTTCATTTCAAAGCAGACTTTGCCTTTTGACACACCGTAAGAAGCCCTTCCTCCAGCCCAGAGAAAAGCAAAGCTCTCCATAGTGAGGGAAGAAGCACTGAGGCGATCTCTCGATATTTTAAAATGCAGATCACAATTATCTGTAATTATATCAATACCGTATTATTTCTTTTCATATCAAACGTAAATACATCTGCTATGTAGACAAAACTTGGTTAAGTTTTTGCACATGTCTAACTGCTACATAAGACACTTTTTACATGCTCTTTTAAATTTTTAAGTTTAAACCCCACCCCCTCACCAAGTCACTCTTGACAAATTATGTACTGAAGTGTAAACCACCTATAAAACTAAGAAGCACCAAGTTTAATGTGTATTTTAAGTATATAAAATCAAGACAATGTGACATTAATACATACCTGCTCTGCTCTTTACCTTGATTTAGAGGCAGGCAGTAGAGGATAGCAGGAAATCAAAGTGAAGCATGCCAGAACCAGGTAGAATTTACCAGTGCCACAGTGTAACGGACAGGAGGCCATGACCAAATGTTTTTTAATAGAGTATGAGTTGCTGATCCTGTACTTTCTATTTTTAAAACACCAGGGATCTAGATCCTAAATTCTTTTCTAAAACTTGTGAAGGCAGCCTCATCTACAAAACACAAACCTGGTTGCCTAATGCTGTAATTATTATTGCACTGTAGGTCTCCTGTTCCAACAACAATGGGGGGTAACCCACTTCCGGGATTATCCAAATCCAAATGTCTTTAACCTAGCTAGCTACCTTTGGGTCAGTGGCTCATTAACATGCACTTTTGAGAGAGAGAGCTGAAGTGAGAAAGCTGTTTCCTTAAAAAGTTCTTATTGTTGAGAATGAAATCTATAGTTTGGAATTCCCCTTATTAGCTTTGCTCTTAAAATTCCTGACCATCGTTGATAGAATAAACCCAATATTGCACTTATCAAATTGATATTCCTAGGTGACCAGTTACAAGTCTGTCTACTTTATAATAGCAGTGTTACCTTCTTGAATCATCACCTCATTTACCTTGCCAATACCTAATACTTTATACTTAACAAACCGAATTTAACAAAACATTCATCTGACTGCTTTTGCATGTAGTTTTAAGACTCCACTATCTTCACTACCTGTAAAGGACACTCAACAAAAAAATCAAGCTTTTGACATTAACACTCTGACACATCTGAATAAAAACAATCTGTATTCACTGGCATCTAAGCTTCGACTCCCCAGGCTCCACAGGGCACCTTACCAATTACTTTTCAAGCAATTATTTCTACCCTTTGTTCTACCACTGAAGGAACTGTGTTCTGATCAAATACTAAGGAAAAATTACAACGCTGACAGCCATGGCCATTTAGAGGTTTGCAATGCTAATACTTCCTCATACTCGATTGCAACCCAACTGGGAAGGGAGCAGTAGTTACAGCGCTGCCATGATACCATTCGCTGGTGGAGAAAGCTAGCGGCCCAGTGATAGGCCACTGCTGCTGCCCAGGTCTTGGGAAGAAATCAACTTATGTTAAAGCGGCAGCTACTGAACTGGAATTGAGAACAGAAGAGCAGTTATTGATAAAGTAGTATTACAATCTTTTAGAATAGGGAATACACTTGGGTGCTAATGGAAAAAGCCATTAATAAATATGTAATTAATCCAAATAGCTCACTTAGGTCCAAAAAGGATGAAATTACTTTAAAGAAGCCTTACAAGTTTCCATTAGCTAGTCAAAAGTTGGCATTAATTTTACATTCCTACAAAGACCTTTCAAGTAATATAAAAGTATTACCAAATTGTTAGAGCCTGTGTTATTATCAATACAACTGACCCTCTTACTAAGTATTTAAAGTACCGGAAAAAATTCTTCCTGCCTTGAAAAAACCTGTTTCCGTTTCCCCGTTAAATCTTCTGCATTTAAGCTCAACGTCCTACATGTTAAGTCTCCTAACATTTTAAAACCGAAACCACATTTGATTCCAGGGGGGAGCAGCAGCTTCACTTACAAGTGTCAAGACAAACCACCGTGTCATCGAAGTGCTCATCTTCTTCCTCCACAGGTGGCTGAGGAGACTTGGCTCTGAAAGACAATAATGTCTCCTGATACAGCTTCTCCCACCCAAGAATACAGAACGGGGGGTGGAGGGGGTGCGGGCAAGACGAGGTGAGCATCCTCTACCTGCTATACTTGTTCTCTTCAATGTACTCAAAATATCCGCGGCCATGATCTTCCCGAGGGCGCTTAACGCCTCTCTTTTTATCTCCGCCTTTCTGCTCTGTTTTGCCGTCTCCTACAAACACACAATACCCCTATTTAGGAGGCCAAGCCACAAGGCAACACACGCACGCACACAGCCCTTGGGTTTCAAAAGGCTCGAAAAAAACAGCCCGGCATTTCCTTGTTCCTCGTTGGAGGCGCGTTTAAGGGACGGATCTAACGCGAATGGGACAACAATCCGTTCGAAAACTGGATTAAGAGCTAGTGACGCAGTCTAGAGACATTGCAAGCATTGGCGGCCCATTAGAAGATTCGAGAACCCTAACGAAAAAAAAAAAAGCAAAATAGCGCCGTACAGGCCGAGCCCACGTGCATCCAAAAAAAAAAGTTCAGGACCGGAGAGGACCCCGCCGCCCCTCCCCCGCCCGGGCCCGCGCGCCCTGCGGCCGCATTGTACTCCCTTTCCGCCCCGAGCTCCCGACGGCCCCTCCCGCCGGAAGTGACGTCACGCCGAGCCCCCACGCTCCGCGCACAATACCGCGGCCCAGCAGCCGCCAAAGCGCGCCCAACCCGGGCCCTCGGGACTCTCCCCTCCCCCTCTCCCCCCCCCCCGACATGTGCCCGCACCGCGCGCACGCAGCGCGGCGGCGCCTCCGCGGGCCGCCCGGGTCCCCCCTCCCCGCCGCCCGGGGCACCACCCCCCCCCGCCGGCGGCAGCTGCAGCTCCCCCGCCTCTCGAGCCACATAATGGAGGCGGCGCCGCCACCCCCGTCGCACACACCGATTTCCCCCAGGCCTCCCGGCTAATCCGGGATTCCCCGCGCCCTCCTCCCTCCCTCCCTCTCTCCCTCCCGCCGCGCGACGTTACAACGCAGCCCCCACCCGCCGCCCCCGCCCGCTCACCTCCGGACTGCTGCGGGCCCTGGCTGGCCCCGGGCGGCGCCACCGTGACCGCGAACAGCGAGGTGGGGCCGCTGCTCTTGCCCGCGGCGGCCTCCTTGGCGGCGGCCCCGCGCTGCTGCTGCTGCTGCTGGGGCTGTTGCTGCGACGTCGCCGGCGGTTGAGCCTGCTGCTCCCCGTGGCCGTTCTCGTCGCCCGCGCCTTCCTCCTCGTCGCCCAGCTCGTCCTCGCCCTCCTGGAAGCCCTGGTCGTCGCCGTTCTCGTCCTCCGAGGCGGCCTCCTCCTCCTCCATGGGGCCCGCGTCGGCCGCCCCCGCGGCGCCGTTCTCCTCCCCGCCGATCTCCATCTGGTCGCCATCCAGGGCGGGGTTCCCCTCCTCCTCTTCCTCCTCCTCCTCCTCCTCGTCGCCGCCGGCCGCGGCCTCCTGCTCGAGGCCTGCTCCCGAGCGCCCGGCCGAGTCCCCGCCCAGGTCGAGGCTGCCGTTCCCGGGCTCCATGGCGGGGCGGCCGCCGGCCTCCTCGCTGTCCAGCGCGGCCTGGAGCCGCTCCATGAGGTCGGCCTTGAGGCCCTTGTCGGAGAGGCGCCGCTTCTTGAGCTCCTCCTTCAGCTCCGAGACCTTGAGCTTCTTTACATTAACAGGCGAGGAACTCATGGTGAGGGCCCCGTTTCACGCTGGCGCTGCTCGGACTCGCTCTCCTCCTGGGCACTGGCGGCGGCGGCGGCGGCGGCTCCTCGGCGCGGGCGGCGGCTGAGGCTGCGGCTGCGGCTGGACGTGGGTTCCTGCTGCAGAGCGGACCCGCCTGGTGTCGAACGGCGCCAATTCCTTTCACGGAGTTCGCGAGGGGAGACGCCGAGACTCGCTGGGCGCGAGCGAGCACGCAACGTCCTCTCGCCGCGGCGCCGCGCACGTAATATAGCGGCCCCGCCCCCCCCGCCCCGCGCCGGGCGGGTCTGCGCGCAGGGCCGGCGCGCGCCCGAAGCCACGCCCCTCGCGCGGTCGAAGCCACGCCCCCTCTCCGGGCGAGTCTGCGCGCAGCATGCGCGCCCGACGCCCCGCCCCCCGCGCCCGGCCCGGCCAGGCCCGGGTCCCAGCCCAGCGTGCGGTGGGTCCGCGCAGGGCGCAGCCCATCGGTCCGCAGCGGATGGAGGGAGAGCAGAGCTTAGCCTTTCGCCTAAGCCGGCCTCCCGCCCGCCACCCCCGCCCCCGTGTCGGCCTTCCTCCTCCTCCCCTGCTGGCGACCCCCGCGCCCGCGCCGTCTCTGCCCGCCCGCCCGCCCGGCCCCGAGGCAGCTTTGACCCAAATGCTTTCCGCCCTCCTCTTGTCAATTTCAGCTGGAACCCTCTTCCGCCTTCCATCTTAGATTCGCCCCGTCCAGCTATTTGGTTCAAATTACGTATTAAAAAAAAACAAAAAACTTTTTTTTTTCATTTTTTTTGATTTATGCAACTTAAATGGGCAGTTATTACAGCTTGATATTCGGTTTAATGCTTCCTAAGTCCTGCGGGCGAATTGGATCCTAAGCTGGGGCAGGGCGAGGGCAGGCCTTCCTTTGTCTCCTGCGCTCCCTGCTGCGGGCGGGGTGGAGGGGGGTGGGGGCCTGGTTCTAATTGCCCAAGGAAATAACCTCAGAACTGCCTTTCTGGGGCTTCTGCACCCACCAAACAGGCGCACCCCTCCCCAAGGCGCACTCAGCCCGGTTAGGGCCCTGCCATCCTGGGGTGAGGTCCCAGGAGCCAACCCTGAGGCTGAGGCCCAGCCAAGCCATGCACTCTGATCCTGTTCCTATTCTTGTAGGAATGTTCGAGCTGAAACTCTAGTGAAAGCTCATAAAAAAATAAAGGGCTGTGATTCTGTAAAAAGAGACCTAGACCCACTTTAGAAATGTGTGGGGTTGTTTTTTGGTGTCTCCGAAGTTTATAATTTTTCTCTTTACTAAGGTGTGTTAGGTTCTTGAGGTTTTATTTTTATTTATTTTTAAATATATTTTATTGATTTTTTACAGAGAGGAAGGGAGAGGGATAGAGAGCTAGAAACATCGACCAGCTGCCTCTTGCACACCCTCTGCTGGGGATGTGCCCGCAACCAATGTACATGCCCTATGACTGGAATCGAACCTGGGACCTTTCAGTCCGCAGGCCTACGCTCTATCCACTGAGCCAAACTGGTTTCGGCAAGTTTTTGAGGTTTTAGATAGGGGTACCTAGAATTTAGATTTGGGATAGAGGTGACCATCTTAAAATCCAGAAAAATCTACTGGTATTCCACTGCCTCTGACTAAAGAAGTCAATTATACCAGGTACACTGGTGCTTAACTGGCACAATAATGCTGCCCCAATGTTAATTTGAAATTTGGGAAAATACACATGTAAGCTCTCTCCCAAGGGTTAGTATGATTTTACTGATTAATATATATACTTTTTTTTAGAAAATAAATATTTTATTGATTTTTTTACAGAGATGAAGGGAGAGAGATAGAGAGCTAGAAACATCGATGAGAGAGAACCATCGACCAGCTGCCTTCTGCATACCCCCAACGTACATGCCCCTGACCAGAATCGAACCTGGGACCTTTCAGTCCGCAGACTGATGCTCTACCACTGAGCCACACCGGCTTCGGTTATACATTTTTTAATAGTTTGCCATGTAGTCATGAATAAAGGTGAAATATTAACACTGAAGTGATTTTATTTTTTTATGAGATGATTTTAATTGAAATGAATGGACTATGTATAGTACTGATAATTCTCAGTTCAAGTTAATGGAGGTTAGATGGCATAGCATCCAAAATAGGAACCTCCACATAATGTCAAAAAACTCACTATAGCCTTTGGATATAGAGTCCTGGGTATGATGTCCTTTGGATATAATGTGACTTATAAACAAGTCACAAACTAGAACTCAAACTTTTCAGATTCTTTGCCCTTGTTCAAAATTGGGAGGAAAGCTAAGGATGCTTACATGTTCACAAACTGGGGAATTAATGAATGAAATATAGTTGTTATGATGGTCCTTTTGAGTTTATGTGTTCTTATTTTTTAAAGCATATTTTTATTGATTTCAGAGAGGAAGGGAGAGAGGGAGATAGAAATATCAATGATGGCCGAAACCGGTTTGGTTCAGTGGATAGAGCGTCAGCCTGTGGACTGAAAGGTCCCAGGTTCAGTTCCGGTCAAGGGCATGTACCTTGGTTGCGGACACATCCCCCGTAGGAGGTGTGCAGGAGGCAATTGATCGATGTTTGTAACTCTCTATCCCTTTCTCTTCCTCTGTGTAAAAAAATCAATAAAATATATTTTAAAAAAACATATCCTCCAAAGACGTGTGAAATGTATCACAACCCTGATGCACACTGAATAATTGTTCCCTTTAGCCGAGTTCTCCAAAAACCAAGTAGAGGTTGTGATAATATGTTTTATTTGCCAGAGCTTCCTTGGCATAACACCTGCAGAATAAATAACAAGTGGTTTCATACTCATCTTAAGAGTAGCCCAAGGCTGTAGTATATTTCGCTAATGTCCCATGTCTCCTAACCCATTTCTTTATTCGACAGAACACAAAGGTAGGGACTTTATATTCTCTAACGCTGCCAGCAATGTTGTCAAGTACCAGATGCTTGACGAATACTTTTTAGTTTATTTAGAAGGTAGTATTAAACTGTTAAGAAAGTCTTCGAGCTCCAGAGATAAGTGCCATCGAATAGTATCCTCCAGGATCTACCAGTTGACTATGATCTAGGTAAGCACATAATGATAATAAGTTATAACCAGGACTGCCTTAGCTGGTTGGCTCAGTGGAGAGAGCATCAGCCTGCGGACTGACAGGTCTCAGATTCAATTCTAGTCAAGGGCACATGCCTGGGTTGTGGACTTCATCCCCAGTAGGAGATGCGCAGGAGGCAGCCGATCCATGATTTTCTCTCATCATTGATGCTTCTATCTCTCTCTCCCTCTCCCTTCCTCTCACAAATCAATAAACATATATTTAAAAAAAAAAAAAAGATTATAACCAGCGCTGTCCGACATAGTAGCTGCTAAGCCATATTTAAATTAAAATTAAAGATTAAATTTCTCACACTACCCACACTTCAAATGCTCCAGAGCCGTTGGTCTCATACTGAACAATGCAGAATAGAATGTTTTTATCACCCACGTTCTTTGGGACAGTGCTTTTACAGGCTGTTTTGCAAGTGCAACTTACACCAAGGAAGGAACCTCTATCCATACATGACTCAACAGCCAGACTAAACGGAAAGCTGGCCCCAAGAACTAGACTCTACCCTTTGTTCTAATGGGAAAAGCCATTACCTACTGTGAGCATTAGATAAACTCTAATTATCAGAGTAAAAGTGTGTGTGTGTTTATATGTATTTATAGCATAGTTTTATAGACACAGTCAACTCCCAATTCATCTATGTCTCTACTGAACAAATATGTATATATACTGTTTATTTATTTTTGTTATTCCTCACCTGAGGATATTTCCCCATTGATTTTTAGAAAGTGTGGAAGGGAGAGGGAGAGGCAGAGAAAGAGAGGAATATCGATGTGAGAGAGACACGTGATTGGTTGCCTCCTGCATGTGCCCTGACCCTGGTGTGGGATCAAGCCTACAACTGAGGTACATGCCCTTGGCTGGAATCACACACTCACCCTTTGGTCTGTGGGCGGACGCTCTATCCACTGAGCAACACTGGCCAGGGCTACTTAACAAATATGTATTGGACGCCAGCCATGCACCACACACTGTACTCTGAAAACAGATATGGATGGCACCGTCCCAGGCCTCCAGGAGCTTGTGGTTTGGAGAAAAAGACAAACCATAACCAGAGAAAGAGAGAGAGAGAGTGGAGCCCGCCATTTGACCATCTGCTGAGCCATTGTCAGCAAGGTTCCCATGGTGCAGGTTTGCACACACGCTTGTCCACCCACAGACATTCACACAGGCAGAGACAAAGCCAAGCACGGCCTCCCAGGCACACGTAAGAAGCCAGAGTGTGACATTTGCAAATAAATAGTCATTAGAAAAGATGCTCTTGTATCATATTCATTATTCTAAATACAGAGCTGCCAGTCATCAGACTTCTGACCTCTGACAAGTCCTTCATTAAAAGCTGTCTGGGCCCAGCCAGAGATGGGCATTGACGTATGAACCAGGAGGTTACGGTTCGATTCCCAGTCAGGGCATATGCCCAGGTTTCAGCCTCGATCCCCAATGTGGGGTGTGCAGGAGGCAGCTAATCCATGATTCTCTCTCATCATTAATGTTTCTATCTCTCACTCTCTCCCTTCCTCTCTGAAATCAATAAAAATGTATTTTTATTTTTATTTTTTTAAATATATTTTATTGATTTTTTTTACAGAGAGCTAGAGAGCTAGAAACGTTGATGAGAGAGAAACATCGACCAGCTGCCTCCTGCACACCCACTACCGGGGATGTGCCCGCAACCAACGTACATGCCCTTGACCGAAATTGAACCTGGGACCTTTCAGTCCGCAGACCAACGCTCTACCACTGAGTCAAACTGTTTTTGGCAAAAAAAAATATATTTTTTAAGAAGCAGTCTGGAATATAAATCTTGGGGATATAATGTACAGCATGGTCACTACAGTGCTATCCTATGTTGTATATTTGAAAGTTGTTAAGAGTATATA